GCTTCGTTTTGAACTCCAAGGCCAAACTTGCCAGTTGTTCCTTTTATCTCTTGACTCCCTACTTCAGCATTCCAATCCCCTATAATGAGAAGAACATCCTTCTTTGGTGTCATTTCTATAAGGTGTTGTAAGTTTTCATAGAACTGGTCAATTTCAGTTTCTTCAGCACCAGTGGTTGGTGCATAAACTTGGATTACTGTGATGTTAAAAGGTCTGCCTTGGATTTGTATCGAGATCATTCTATCATTTTTGAGATTGCATCCCAGTACAGCTCTTGCCACTCTTTTGTTGACTATGAGGGCCACTCCATTTCTTTTACGGGATTCTTGCCCACAGTAGTAGATATGATGGTCATCCGAACTGAATTCGCCCATTCCCGTCCATTTTAGTTCACTGATGCCCAGGATGTCAATATTTATTCTTGCCATCTCATTTTTGACCACATCCAACTTACCAAGGTTCATGGTTCTTACATTCCAGGTTCCTATGCAATATTTTTCTTTACAGCATTGGACTTTCCTTTCGCTTCCAGGCATATGCGCAACTGAGCGTCCTTTCGGCTTTGGCCCAGCCGCTTCATCAGCTCTGAATCTACTTGTACTTGTCCTCCGCTCTTCCTCAGTAGCATGTTGGACGCCTTCCGACCTGAGGGGCTCATCTTCCAGCGTCATAACTTGTATATGCCTGTTGCCTTTGTCCATGGAGTTTTCTTGGCAGGGATACTGGAGTGGCTTGCCGGTTCCTGCTCCAGGTGGATCACGTTTGGTCAAAACTCTCCACTATGACTTGTCCATCTTGGGTGGCCCTGCACGGCATAGCTCATAGCTTCTCTGAGTTGTTCAAGCCCCTTTGCCACGGCAAGGCAGTGATCCATGAAGGGGGCATGGCTTCTTAGTTAAAATTAATGTACTACTGAATAATATAGTGGTACCTCGGGTTAAGAACTTAATTCGTTCCGGAGGTCCGTTCTTAACCTGAAACTGTTCTTAACCTGAAGCACCACTTTAGCTAATGGGGCCTCCCACGGCTGCTGCACCACCACCGCGCAATTTCTGTTCTCATCCTGAAGCAAAGTTTTTAACCCGAGGTACTACTTCTGGGTTAGTGGAGTCTGTAACCTGAAGCTTTTGTAACCCAAGGTACCACTGTACTTTGTTATTATTAATCTAGTTGTGCAAGTTGCAGAACACAGAAGCCTGTGGGTTGTCCTAGCGAAGATGTAACAGTATGCATATCCTGCTTTGAGTCTCTCCAAAATTGTTCTGCTGAAGGTGTTTTCAAAGGTAAGACTTGATTCAGCTTGTCTGACAAAATACATTTAATAGTGAAATATAAAATCTACACTGGGTAGAGACTATGCATTCAATTTGTCTTCTGCCTTTTAAGCAACAACCATGCTTTTCTCAAACATAAAAGAGAAGCTCAGAGGCACTTTTTAGTTTTACATGTAAAAGCATTCAAAGGGGTTACTGGGTGATAAAAGTGCACTTTCTTCTAATTCATGGCACAGAGTTCACACAATGGGCCAGTTGTAAGGATAGTGCATTTTCTAAGAACTGTGTCTATAACCATATTCTTTAGAACTTGGGAAAGTTTTTTCTCCTTGTGGAAAGGAAGCAATGGGAGAGATTTGGGAGAGTGGGAATAGCAGGCAGGCAAAGGGTTAAGTACCCCCCTGCTCCTCTATTCCTGATTACTCCTCTCTAAAGTGCAGTTTCCTGATCCATTTTTGCCAGTGCGATACCGTTAGATGCATTTGTGTGTAATGAAGACTTGAGACATTGGGCATCAATTAGTAATGCTCACAAACTTTCTATCTATCTATCTATCTATCTATCTATATATATATATATTTACATGGTCTCTCACCCCCCTTAATTCTCAGCCTTACTCTTGTGGTAAAACCTCACAGGCAATTTCTTTCCTTGGGGTTGATCCACATGCACATAACAAGCCTCATTAACCCCTTCCAAAATGCATTCCTGTGGTTCTAGAATTACAGGTGGGAGGGACTTTGGAAGCCACCTAGGCCAACACCCTGCTTATGCTCAGCACAGGATCTGTCATACAGGTTGCGACTGCAGAGTCCGTGACTTATGTATCTGCTTCAGCACCTCTTGTGAAGGAGAGCTCACCACCCCCTGTGGCAGCCTGTTCCACTGTCACACAGCACTTACAAGGTGGACATTTCTCCCAGAATGTAGTCAAAATTTGCTTTCCTAATTAGACAGTGGTTCTCCCCCTCCCCAAATTCCACTCCTCGTCTATGCTGTTCTTGTTTTCAGGTTCACACTCACACTATACATGGAAACCACTTGACTTTCCCCAAAGAATTTCCTTGGGAACAGTGGTACAGCAACAATTCTCAACACCCTACAGTCCCCTGCATCTGTTTGCTTTAAATGTGCTTTAAATGTATGGTGTGGATGTGAAAGCTACCTATTTTCATGAAATGATGTGTGTTGTTTACTTCTGACTGCTTGAGCCTAGGAAGACAGAACTCATAGTTCCTCATCTCAGAAACAGCTGCACCTACAACTTCTCGCAGGTTTCTGAGGAACCACCCCCAACAGATCTTCAGGTAAGAATCCGAAGTTACTTCAGCAATAGAGAACAAAGCTAGTGATCGGTCCCATGCTATAATCAGAAAGTAAAGTGCCATTATGAATAATACAGCCAGCAGGACTTGTTTCTTTGGGGCTTTGTGTTTATGAAAAACTTTTGTCCTCCCTGCTCAAGGACTTAGAGGGGCTCGTTCTTCATAGTGATGGGAGTTATTAGGCCAGCAGGAACCCAAGATTCATGGCAGAGGGATTTTGCATTCAGTGCACACCAAATTAATTAAGCAGCAAAGAGGAAGTGCGTGATGGGAAGGAAAACACACCTCCTGGTGGCTTGCAAGGAGCTTTGCTTCGAGTCACTGAGGTGCCACCAGAAGGCTTTGAACTGCAAATACAACCTCGTACAGGGAACACTTGTCTTTCTATGTACTTTGCTCCTTATCTATAATTTCTTGTGCACCAAGAAGGAACAGACAGGACTCATTTCCTCCCATGTTCTGAATGTGTACTTAGCACAAAGAGGACGAGGACTCTAATCTAGAGCCCAGATCCTGCCCTGCTTAGCAGGTGGCTGCATCTGACATGATCCCACTCCACAGCCTCCTTTCTCTGCAGAATGTAGGCTAAAAATCTCCTCCATGATGATTCTCTCGTAACTAAGCAACCCAGGAAGTATCTGCCTGGTAAAATATAAATAAATCTATATTTGTAATATGGAAAGAAAACTGACAGCCGTACTTAGCTCTTCTCAGACACCTGCTCCTTGAGATCCCAAAGTGCTTCATAAGACCAACTGGGTTTCAGAAAACATAGGAGGAGGGCTGGCACCATCGTCCCTGTCATACTGGGATGGAAACGCTGCCCTCTGGGCACTAGTAACCACACCTGGCTCCCCTGGCTTTGGAGATCTCACCAGACTTGGCCCACACTCCTGTCTCCAGTGGTCAGGGAGCAGTGTTCTGATTCCATTGTCAGGAGAGAGAAAGTTGACCCCTCTCCTCAAAATGAAAGCATCTGATTTAGGGTTCTGAGAGCTATACCCAATACCAGCTTCTGTGCTTTTTCTGCACTTTCACAAAACCATGGAAAGGATACAGATTTCTCCGTATAAGTATGTGTTTGTGGGGACTCATTTTTTTGCACCAGCACTCTCTGCAAAAAACTCACCCTTTAATGCTGAATTGCACATGGCGCTTTAAAGTGTAGCCCTGTGCCTAGAAACACACAGCACAAAAGGAAGTCTGGATAAGCCCTGAGACAACTGTGGGCCAGTATGAGTCGAGGAACATTAGGCAGCTCTGATTACTGTGCTGTCCTGAGCCTAGCCAGTAGGAAGGAAAATGCCTCCCCTGCATGTCAGGATGGGATGGACCAGAGCTCAGCGCGAGTAGCCTTTTCTTGAAGCCATCACATATGCAAATGGTTGGGGCAGGGAAGCCCATCAATCTTTCGTACCCTATTCTTGCTGCCCTTATGACTGGCTTTCCATTTCAAAATGCCCCCAGCTTACCTTTTGTTCTGCTCGAAACCTTCTTCCTCCCTTGTTCTCTCCTCTTTCCCTTCCTATTCTCCTCCTCCTCCTCCTCCTCCCCCTTCCCCCTTTGCTATTTTGCATCTTTTCCTTTCTCAGCCCACCACCTTTTGCCTTCTCTTCTGTTCCTCCTCCTATACCCAGCACATACAGAACCTGGCAGAATTGCAAAAAACGGATAATTCCAAATGGAACAGCTGGTGTGTCCTCTGAGTTGGGAGTGAATACGGGAGAACATGAAAAGCACTTATTAAAAATGAGGTGAAGAGCGGGGGCGGGAACAAACCAGAAGAGAAACACAAGGATAGCTTTTAGAAAAGTAAAGGGGGAAAAGAAAGCTGCTGGCATGTAGTGCTTTCAAAGTCTCATTCTCTCCAAGCCATAGGAGACCCAGATGCCTACTCTGGGACAACGGGGATTCTGGGCAAAAGGTATCGCCATCACCAGAGATGGGGGATGCAGCTGATGGCTGGGAAACCAGTCCTGCCATTTGCTACCAAGCTGGGGTAACTGTTATCTCTGCTACATCTACAGCAGGACTGGGAAACTTCAGGCCCAGGGGCAAATATGACCCTCTGGGTTTCTTTCTAAGCCACAACCTCTCCTCTGGTCACACGGCTCATCAGCCCAGTCCAAACTTTTCTCAAGTGCTCAACTGATCACAATCCACAGACAAATAGCTGGGGAGAGGTCTTTCAAGTGGGACTCTCTGGAATCGAGGTTTCCCCTCTGGCACATATCCCAAATTGCCGGCCTGCACATTAGGCTAGCCAAGGGGATACCAGTGGCAACGGCAACTTCCATTTGGGACTGCTCCATACTGAAAGCGTAATAATATGTCACAACACAGATGAGCTACATCATGCGCAGAATCTCCAAGCCACCACCAGAAACTCTTGGCAGTATCCACCTGTGGATAGCTCAGCTGGTAGAGCATGAGACTCTTAATCTCAGGGTTGAGAGTTTGAACCCCACTTTGGGCAAAACATTCCTGCATTGCAAGGGGTTGGACTAGATGACCCTTGTGGTCACTTCCAACTCTATAATTCTGTGATTCTATCCTAGAGCAGGGGTCCACAAATTGTGTTCTGCAAGCTTCATTCAGGTGGTCTGTAGCGTGTCACCATGGAATTCAAATGGTAATATGAAAAAGCACATTAAAAGAAGCAACAAAAATACAATTTACAAAATCATGCAGCATTCTGCACAATGTATGACAATTGCTGCAGTAGGCTGAAATGAATCATTTAGAGGTCCTCAGTAGTTTTCAAGCGGTCCATGGGGGGATTTTTTTGGGGGGTCCACTGCATTAGAGGCTTTGCATGTGATGCAGAGGATCTGCATAGTGAGCTACTCAGCATGTTGGCTTGCATCCTCCATTTTAAGTGTTGCTCCTCGTTTGCTCCTCCGCCCATGAGGGGAGGAAGGAGGTATCTCCTCAACTCTCCCTCCATCTGGACCCCCCTGCAATATACCCCACACTATTCTCACCCCTTATTCCTAGGAACAAATGCTGGTGCTGGGCAAAGGGGATTGCAGAAGGAGAAGGGAAGGGAAGGGAAGGGAAGGGAAGGGGGAAAGCCTTGCTCTGTGAACAGAGCAATTGCCCCTGGCATGGAGCAGTCAGCTGATTCCTGTGTGGTGTGTAGCTCAGCCTTAACTAACACTCCTTGGACATTGTTCTCCTTCGACCATAAAATGGCAAGAGAACATTGAGAAATTTGTGCCGGCTGCTCTTTAATCAATATCCTTCTTCTGATGCTTGAGCACAAATGCCTAGGCATCTTCTAGATCAGTGAATTTCAAATTTCATACTCATCTAGGAAGCTTTTCTCCACAGATTTGTCTGCTGGGGCCCTTCGGTGTGTGTTTGCCATGGAATCCCTGTGCATTGGCAAGGATTCTGGGACTCATTTAAGGACAGTCTCTCGATTTGCACAGTGCACTGACCAGCCCTATATTGTCCCTCGCTAGAGTCTCATGTGAATAGATATTGCATCCTACAGCAGGCATAGTTCTTGTCTGCTGCTGCAAATTGAGTGGAAAAACCAGTAAGGGTAAAGAAACGATCTGCTTGACTATGGTTATTTATTTTATTAATGGATTTTCCAGCCCATCTTTCAGAGCACAGCCCTCCCAATGCTTTAAACAGAATAAATTAAATAACACAAATAGCTCCACCCCCAAACTGAAATGGTGGCACTTACACCCCCAGAATGCTACACTTAAACAAAAAGGTTTTCAGAGTGTTGAAAGGCCACTACAGATGGGGCCATATGTACCCCTCTGGAGAGAAAAATTCATAGGTGTGGAGACAATACTGGAAAGGCCTTGTCCTCGATACCCATCAGCCTGATGGGCCATTTCAGAGGGCCAGAGAACAGGGCCTCTGAGGTTGACCTTAAGACCTGGGTAGACTTGCATGGCAGTCTTTCAAATAACGTGGTCCCCAACCTTTCATAGAATCATAGCATTGTAGAGTTGGAAGGGACTCTGAGGATCATCTAGTCCAACCCCCTGCAATGCAGAAATATGCAGCTGTCCCATATGGGGATCAAACCTGCAACTTGTACCATGCTGTAACCAGCTGAGCTATCCAGGCTGGCAGGTTTTCATCGTATAAACATTAAAAACAACACTTAAAATTACCAATCTTCTCATTGGGAAAGCTTTTGATAAGCTGCACAGTTCTTGGGAACAGAAATGAAAATTTCTTCATTTGGACTGGAATGTTATTTGATGAGGTGAAGGGGTAGGCAGGGTGACTGTGATACAGAAAGCCATTTATTTATTTATTTATTTATTTTTGCATAGCATTGCCTTTATTCAGATCTAACAAGAATTATGCACAAGATACTTGCAAGATAGTGTCTCCTTTTTAGCGGCATGGTGGGTTGCAGCAGCTCATCTGACCTCTGTTCGTTTGCATTGCTGCTGTTCACTGGGAGGCAGTGGAAGAGGGACAAAGAGGCAGGGAGTTTGTGCCTTGCAAATGCACAGACAGGAGCACCTGATTGGCTTTGCTGGCGCATCTGCACTGTGACAACCTCGCTGCTGCCTTGCCCCTTCCCCTCTGCCTTCTGGTATGCAGCAGTGACACAACCAATGTGCACCATCCACTACTACCTTTTGGGGTTTGCTTTAAATGTGCTGGATTTTTTTGGGCCAGCCCTGTTTGAGTCTATGCCAAATTTTTGCTCTTATGAATAGATTCATCATGTGCCCAGATTGCTACAAGCTTGTCATGGGCTGCGTTAACTGTTTTTGTACACAACCGTTGACAGGTGTGCTGGTGACCTAGATGCTTGGTGAACTTATTGCAGAAACTAGTGACTGCATACTCATTCAAACTGGATCAGTGCTCTCTCGCTCTCTCTCTCTCTCTCTCTCTCTCTTTCTCTCTCTCTCTGTCTCACAGAAACAAGCTCCCACAAAAGATTGTTCGCTGGCCTTAATGTTTGAATATCAAATTTTGTAGCCATAGGGGGTAGAATTCACTTTAAGAACCCTTAAATAGGTCACAATTTGTGAAGCAATACTGCTTACAGATGTAATAGAAGAGAGAATCAAGACACCCATATTTTCAAAATGTTGATTAAAAATGAAATGTTGCTCAATGTGTACAACAGCTAAAAAAAATCAGTCTGGGAAGATGTCGTGGTTCAGCAAGGTCCGTTCTTGGGGTCCACTTGGAAGATTTTGTACTCCTCACAACAACAACAACAACAGAAAACAGGTAACATTTTTTTAATAGGAGGCTTTAAAAATTAAATATGGATAGGCTTGTTTAATGTTTTTTGTTTAAAAATAAAAGAGTTAGTTAATCCTGTTGAAAATTGTAGAGAAATTAATTTAAAGCAAGCATACATTTTTGAATGTTGTAAAGAAATAAGGGAGAAGCTTGAGACATGTATTATTTTCTCACAATCAGGCATGCCATATTTTCTACATCTAGATTTGAAATGAAACATTCTAGGTACCGTATTTTTCCGTCTATAAGACATCCCTAGACACCTCCTATTTTGGGGGACTCTGATTTAAGAAAATGGGGGGAGATCTATCCGTTTATAAGATGCCCCCAAATTTTGGACATTATTTTTTAAGGAAAAAACCTAGTCTTGTACACGAAAAAATACAGTATATATGGCAGCTAGCTGACAATTCAAACCTGTATATACACTCCCATTTGCTATATCCTGTGTGCTTCCACTGCTGGTTTGGGAAGCAGTGTATGCACAACCTTAGCCACAAGCAGTGTATGCACAACCTTGGCCACAATCCATATCTATCCTGTAGTTTCTTATGGGAGTCTGCATTTTGATGCATATTCCCACTAAACCAGCTTTGTTCCTTATTGAGAAAAAGAACAATGTAGCTGCACTGTAAGCCATTAAATGTGTACATAGCCTGCGTGGGCAAGATGTCAAGGTTCAGGGAGGTTAGGAGATTTGCTGGCTGAGGAGCTATAGCATTTGATGAAAGCCAGGCTATATGAGATATGACGGTGCAGCAACAGTTTCATTGAGATTCAGATTTGCTAGTGGAATGGCTGAAATGGAGTGGAGTCATGGGTGAGATGTGTCTGGCACTTAAAACAGATCCCATACCAACAACCATGTCCCTGTTGACAGTACCACTTTCTATTAGTAGCAGACTTGGTATAGTGGAAATTCCTCTTCCATTGACTTCAATGGGAAGGTGGAAATTAAATAAAAACTAGCCGTCCCTGCGTCAACAGTTTGCCTGCCATGTTGTAACATGGATATGGTGTAACTCGGCACCCACAGCGCCACCAGTATATGAACCCTATAGAGAGACCATAACTCAGACAACAGAATACATGGTATCTTTCTGATCTCATGTCATGCATACTCAGAGCTCACAAGGGGGAAACTTTGGGGATGGAAAGCTATGGAGAAAGAGCGCTTTGCACAAAATAGCCTGGCCTCACAACACAGATAGGAACTTGATTACATTGCCAACACTTCTCTGGCTAGAACCCAAACAGCAAGGGACTGCAGACATGAACATACAACACCTCTCCAACAAATGGGGGTTGCTAGGAGGGCTGAGCACCCCACACAGGCAAGAGGCAGCACATGCCACCAAGTATAAGTGTTGCAAATGTTTTTGACATCCCCCTGGATCTTGGGTGAGAGTCAGGAGGCTGAGAGGGAAAGAAAAATGAACCAATACTAGGCTATATTTATCAGTAGCTTTGCATTTAACTGTATATTCTTGCAATGTTTGTTGTTGTTTAGGTTGTCTTCTGTTGCTTTCATTTCCTGTCTACTTGCCTGCTGTGTAAGTGCACTCACCACATGCTGGGTGCACCTGCCATCTTCTCTCCTGGATCAAGTTCCGGGAAAGCCTCTACTTCAGGCATTCAGCAGAGCTAGATCTGCACAGTACCACCCAGGTGGCCCTGGGTGCCAGAGAGGAAGCCCAGCAGTGGAGCAAGCTGATCAGGCGCCTGGGGTGGTGCGTGTGCCCTGCGCCAAGGGCAGGGCCAGCCGCCCACAGGACGGGGTGAGCCGGGGCAGGATGCTCCGCAGGGCCTCTGAGGAGTCTGCCTGCCTCCTCCCACTCAGCCACCCTACAGCTGAGGGGGAGGCGGCGGGCAGACCGTTTGGGGCAGGAGAGACATGTGGCTTGGGCATGCTGCAGGCCCCGCAGTGCGTGCTGCCAGGCATTTTGTCACCCCCCTCAGTGGTGACACCCGGGGTGACCCACCCCCACCACACCCCCTTCCACCACCCCTGAGGAAGCCATAGTGCTTCCTTCTCAGAGTTCTCAAGCATAGAATAGTATGCAGAAAAACATGTAAAAGGTACCCAGCTGATGTTTGAGCAGAAAAGGTGCTCAGAAAATGACAACTAATAGGCTGCTCACCTCTTATATGCGGGGAGTGGGGATCTGTGTGCGCGCGCGCATGATGTATCATTCACTAGATAGGGAAGGAAAGCAGCGTTCGCCTTGCATC